AAGATTTTTTTTACTTAATTTTTTACCATATATGCTGATGCTCCCTTTTCCAATATAAAATTTCAAAAAGTAATAATTGTGCTTTTATGAATTTTGATAATTTTCTTTATAACTTTATCAATGAAAAAAACATGATAAGTAAAATGAACTTGAGATATTACTACAATATAGTACTAAGGGACCGTTTGGCGAAGTTTTCTAACAAACTTGCTCCTAGGTTCACCGCTTGACATGCTATCAGACAATGCAATTTCAAAATTCAATGCCATTGGATGAAAGACGTCCCACCTAAAAATAAATTATTAATAAGGGAAGAGTAAGAGGCAACGATTAGCAACAGAGAAAGAATAGGACGTGGGTGAGGTAGGTCACTGAAAGCAACATTGGATTCATTAATAAATAAATATCATTTCGAATAAGTGATTATAAGTTTAAGTCTTGAGTTTAATTTAAAAAAAAATTAATTCCTTTAAATACAACATGCTAATGTGAGGATGAGCCACTAAAACAGTTTATGAGTATATGAAAACTAACTTGAAAACACCTTATAATGTTTAGAAAAAAAAAAAGAAAAACATCCCACCTAAAAATAAACTCAAGTACCACAAAATAAAATGGCCCTCCAAAATTAAAGCGATACGCTAGCAAAGAAAAATAACAAATTGGTCAGTAAACATGGAAGCTAAGCATTCGACCAAGGTAACTAAATATCATGTTCTTGATGCCATCGGAAAAATGCTAAAGAGATTTCGAAAGCAAGAATTTTCTCATACAATAGAGTTAGATAGCTCTTACCCCAAATAAAAAAAGATTTAATAGAGTTAGAGCACAATGATTTTTCAACAGTAACAAGTAATCTAGAATTTTGTTGCAAACACATTAAGATCATGCAAATAATCTAACAGTAGAAAATTGCATCATGAGAAAGAAGGCAGTTGCTCAATAATGCTCGTCTTACTTTTCAGTAACATATCAGTATGTCCTCAATGGAATTTTAACCATACCTACCAGGGAGGAGTTACAGCAAAGCAACATTTTCATGCTACTTAAAGTCAAAAAAAAAATATTAGTAGGATTTCATAAATCTAAGATTACATGGAAAAGGCATGTCAATATGAATATGGGATGTAATGCAATGATGATTGTGAACAATAAAATTACTCAATCCAAATACTATCTCAACTGTTAAGGGAGAAAAATTTTGCAAAGCAACTAATCTATTAAATAATTCTCATCAGCTACATAACATTTTTGGAGATCAACAAGGATGATACATCTTAATCAGTTAATCCAAAGATATAAAGGATGACATAGAGAGCCTAAATATTAAAACCAGTAAATTAGACTCAGAAATTCAACTACAAGCTACCTCCGAAGCCTCTATAAAAGGCCAGATACAAATAGCATAAAAAACCTGCTGAATGCAAATGAAACTACATTTGAGGAATTGATGTTACACCTACCTGATAGTGACAAACTTATTTGTACCATGCTTAGCCCAGTGAGTCCTCAAATCAATTGGATTAGAAAAGTCATAACCTTCGGATGCAAGTTTCTCTAAAACCTTCTTAAAAGCTCCCACACTCATTTTTCTGCCTGCTATCCTGGCCCCACGACGCTTTGTACTCATAGGCAATGGATAAATTGACATGTTTGTTGTACAACACGCAGACTGCCACCCACCACATCCCCAACGGTAACACTGTTGAAATGCCCCAGTACAAGAGCAAACAGGTATAGGAATACATGAAATGTCGATATCCTGCCCATTTATAACAATTTCTGCAGTCTTTTTAGCAGGTTTTACTGTTTGCATGGAGGGGTTACTCTCATCTTTTGGTGCACGAGGTCCTCTCTTACCCTTTTTGGCTTTGGGGGATTTTGGGGCTTTTGGGCCCTGCCTTTTCTTATTAGGGGCATTGTCTTTTTCAACCTCAGCCGCTTCCAGTTGAGTCACTCTTTCATCCTTCACCAACTCTAGAGGCTGAACCATCTGCATATTGTGAGCTGAAGATGTGTCTCCTAAAACAGCATAATTGGGGTTTCCAGAAATAACATTTACAAACTTGTCTCTATGGTTCATCCAAGTATCCTTCATATAATCCAAGGGATAGTGCACTTGTGAAGTCCCCATATCCCTATGGTAGAAAGTTCCATTTGAACCAGCCATGACTGCAGCATTGCGGGTGCTAAGAAGAGGCTTTTCAGGTATGGAAGACATAAGCTGAAGTCCCAGATGGCTTTTAAAAGGAGGTGGCTCATAGTAACCCCAATTATGTATATTCAAACTGTTATCTCCATCCATTTTCTTAATGATAATCCAAAACTCTAATAGAAATCAATATAACACAATCTTTATTTACTTTTTCCCAGAGTAACTCACAGGTTCGGCTTTCACCTAAGAATTCCACAAAGTTAAATCAATAGTTAAATGGAAAACAGATATATGATAAGAAGTTGAAATGTGGTTTAAACAGATAACTAGTGTGGTAAATAGATGTAAAAGAGAAAACAAGAACAAAAATATTTAGGGTTCTAAGATAAACTACATATCTCAAACTCCAATCTCTCTACAAAATGAACTAGATGGAGAAATAGATGGGCATAGGCAAAGATTATGGAGTTAGCTTATGGGATTTACAAGGACCATGTTTTGAACTCTCAAAGAAAAGATCTGGACTGTGCTTGCAAGGAGGAAGAGGAAAACCAAACAACCCAGGATTACTCATAAATACGGATGCAGGGATAATGGCTGTGTACAGGAATCTTGTCACTTAGTCTATTACCCCAAAAATTGAACTCTTTCAGTTCATTCAGGTTTTCATTTTTTGGGTAGAATTTATAAAGAGATAAATAAAGAGATGAAGAGGCAGAACTCAGAAACACATGCACGGAAAGAAAAATGCATAAGAAAGCTACTTAGCTACTGCACAACATTAGTAACACCATCTTAGTGTCAACCTACATTTCATTTTTAGCCATTATCATCCTAGTTGAATATAGACGAAAAAGCATACAGAAATAGAATTGATAAATGCACATATTTAGCCAAAATTAATTTCGGAAATTGCATACCCTGCAATGTGAATTCTGTATTCAGGCAAAATCTGGAGCTAACAGAGGTTCTCATCCACAGAAATTAAAAGATACAGTACTATTGCAAGAAATGTCTCCAGTTTTCTATACTTTTGAAATATATCTGCAAATGAAACAAAAACAAAGCCGAAAATGAAGCACAACACCTCATTACATCCTCGGAGACAGAGATACAAGAAAAATGATAAGTAGAAATTATTTGGAAAAAAAAAAGCAAAATAACTAACCGTTTTTTGTTTCAGTGCAAACCCACCGCCTGAAGAATCCACAAAATCAAGGGAATAAAAATCAACAAAAAAAGAAAAAAAAAGAAAAGCAAAGGCTTAGTGAAATCAATAACATGAATGCAGTATGAAAAATTACAACAATTCGCGTAAGTGCTGAAAATGAGCTGCGAAGAGGAACGGATAAACCGAATAAAGATGTAGGAAATCAAGAAATTTGAAGTTGAAGCTAAATTTAACCTAATCAAACGAGAAGATGAGCCGATAAAGCTAATCTTTGAAGAGAATTTACCGATTCAGCGGCGGATTCCTGCCATTTTCGCACGATTGAAGCTTCGAATTCAGACAGCGAGTGAGCGAGATTCTGTTAGAGATGGAGTTTGGAAAACGAAATTGGGTATGGCTTTCCAGGTTTCAATTTTTTTTTTTTTTTTAATCTGTGGTTATTAAATCACCATTTGGGTCCTTAAACTTTAGGTTTTAGACCAAGTTGATCTATTTACTTTAAAAACTACCAACATCATCCTTAAATTTTGATTATCCGGTGCCAACTCCGTCCTTCATCGGTTAAGTGATGATGTGGACGGTTAAGTCATTCAAAAATACAAATTTTAAACACAAAATATTGCAAAATTCTAAAACTATTTTAGTGTAGAGGTCAACAAATTCCTTCATCCACTTTAATTTTTTATGTATGTGGGTACCTTTTTTTGCAAATCTATATCTATATATATTATATAAAATGTTACTCTCAAGCATTAATTAGACATTAAAATTTTTTATT